GTGTTAACCTTTACAGAACAGGTGGCTTGTGTTAACCTTTACAGAACAGGTGGCTTGTGTTAACCTTTACAGAACAGGTGGCTTGTGTTAACCTTTACAGAACGGGTGGCTTGTGTTAACCTTTACAGGACGGGTGGCTTGTGTTAACCTTTACAGAACGGGTGGCTTGTGTTAACCTTTACAGGACGGGTGGCTTGTGTTAACCTTTACAGAACGGGTGGCTTGTGTTAACCTTTACAGAACGGGTGGCTTGTGTTAACCTTTACAGAACAGGTGGCTTGTGTTAACCTTTACAGAGCGGGTGTGGTTATGATGTTCCCTTTGAGCGGCTTCTACGGCGAGGCTGCTGAGAAACTGTCCATAAATCTGGGACGTCGGGGTGAAATCAGGCGCTCGTAATAATAGTGAAATCAGGCGCTCGTCATAATAGTGAAATCTGGCGCTCGTCATAATAGTGAAATCAGGCGCTCGTCATAATAGTGAAATCAGGCGCTCGTCATAATAGTGAAATCAGGCGCTTGTTTTTGGCTCAGCACCTTTCTTGTCCACTGAACAACATCCCTGTTTAGAACAACATCCCTGTTTAGATATTACAGAAAGAAACGTTGATCATAGGCACACACAAAATGTAACTTTGCCGTTTCCAACGACACTTCAGTTTTGGAAGTCACCAAACTTTGGCGGCCATTTTCTTGCTAATTTGTCTCCCACCTCCTTCCATCACAAATATGTCAGTTTATATTCAAGATCAATGAGACAGTCTTATACAGGTGGCAGTGAGAGCAGGCTTCTTTTTCGTGCTATTGGTTTTGAAATTCTTTTCATTTTTGCTTACATTTCCTTTTGTTTGACTTGTTCTTTTTCATGGGAATAACGGTGATCTAGATGTTGATTTTGATGTGGTTGCCATTATTGTTGTTGTAAGGTTTTGCTCTGTTGTTGTTGTTGTGGGTATTTATCTTTTATTTGTTATTGTTGGATTGTTAGTCATAATTATGAGATTTATTCAAAGTGAAAAAAATTGGGTTTTTTTATGGTTGTTGTTCTTGTTTTCTGTTCTCGTTCTTTGTCATAACTGTTGCTAAACCTTTTTGCTTTATCGTAGTATTTTTGTCATAACTGTTGCTAAACCTTTTTGCTTTATCGTAGTATTTTTGTCATAACTGTTGCTAAACCTTTTTGCTTTATCGTAGTATTTTTGTCATAACTGTAGCTAAACCTTTTTGCTTTATCGTAGTATTTTTGTCATAACTGTAGCTAAACCTTTTTGCTTTATCGTAGTATTTTTGTCATAACTGTCGCTAAACCTTTTTGCTTTATCGTAGTATTTTTGTCATAACTGTAGCTAAACCTTTTTGCTTTATCGTAGTATTTTTGGAGAAAACATTTACTCTAGTTGACCTGTGTACGGGCATGTTTATTTATGAGTCGTTAGTCTGGAGGTAATGACAGGTCACACACTCTACAGCATCGTTAATAAACCAGGTCACAGCATATGTCATATATTGATATGTTTAAATATATATATATATATATATATATATATACATTGTATAATATATCTAACCTTATACTGTGTGAACCATGTACATGTATATCTAATAGCCTAGTCAGTATCAAAGGATTTAATCTTGTCACTTACGATAATTAAATGCTGTGTGTGTGTATGTGTGGGTGTATGTGTGTGAGTGTGTGTATGTGTGGGTGTGTGTGTGGGTGTGTGTGTGTGTGCATGCATGTAATATAGGCTGTACTAAGCTCTTTGAGCTACTTGTTTTGGAAATGCGCTATATAAATGTTATATATTATTATTATTATTATTACATACTGAGAATTTCTTTATTTACCCAGTAGGACAGTTTTGTTCAACATAAAACGTTTGCCAGAAGGACTTTTATAAATGAATACATTTTTCTATCTCTTGGGAAAGGCCCCTAAGGGACGGACTTCATTGTATACTAGGTTAAAGGTTGATTGCATCAATTTGTTCGATAGTAGCTTGGTTTATTGTCAGACTCCCTCCCCTTGAAATGAAACAATTATTGGAAAACCGCATGCACACTGTGTGTTCTTTTCACACCATCCGAAGTCTGACAGAAGTACTTGATAATCCTGCCGTGGCAAATTAAAGAACAGCAACTTGATTTTCTTCATGTATGTCTTGTCATAGTGGGGTGGTCTGGACTGTCTTTTTCTATTGGATGACTCCTAGCCTAGATGTGTCCTTCAGCTGTATGTCAAGTTGTCGGATTCCAAACAAATTTGAAGTGCAGAGCGACGAGCGACGACTAATTTGTAAAAAAAACCCACATATTTTGGATTGGAGCAAATACTTTGCTCACCAAACTGTTTAAGAACTGAGTAACGACCTTTTGCTAAAGGTGTCATGATAGCCTTTTCTGACAGTTTGTCACTTGGGAGTTCTCAGTTGTTCTGTCTGGCTTGTAGTGTCATGAGAATCTATGAGTCATTACCGGCACCTCTGTTTTATGATCACATTGTGGAGAGGAGTCAAGAAAAAACGTGATTCTATGTACACCTGGCCCAGTCAGGATGATTCTATGTACACCTGGCCCAGTCAGGATGATTCTATGTACACCTGGCCCAGTCAGGATGATTCTATGTACACCTGGCCCAGTCAGGATGATTCTATCTACACCTGGCCCAGTCAGGATGATTCTATCTACACCTGGCTCACTTAGGATGACTGTCAACACCTGACTCAGTAACTCCAAGGATGACTGTCAACACCTGCCTCAGTAACTGTAAGGGTGACTGTCAACACCTGCCTCAGTAACTGTAAGGGTGACTGTCAACACCTGCCTCAGTAACTGTAAGGGTGACTGTCAACACCTGACTCAGTAACTCTAAGGATGACTGTCTTAAACACAGCTCTGCTCTTGTGGCACCTGGCGTGTTTTCAGCAACTGTCATGAGCTCCCAAAACTACCAACATCCCCACTACTGTGACACATGACGTCCCAACACTGCTGTGACACATGACGTCCCAACACTACTGTGATACATGACGTCCCAACACTACTGTGACTGTGACACATGACGTCCCAACACTACTGTGACACATGACGTCCCAACACTACTGTGACACATGACGTCCCAACACTACTGTGACACATGACGTCCCAACACTACTGTGACTGTGACACATGATGTCCCAGCACTACTGTGACACATGACGTCCCAACACTACTGTGATACATGACGTCCCAACACTACTGTGAGACATGACGTCCCAACACTACTGTGACTGTGACACATGACGTCCCAACACTACTGTGACACATGACGTCCCAACACTACTGTGACACATGACGTCCCAACACTACTGTGACACATGACGTCCCAACACTACTGTGACACATGACGTCCCAACACTACTGTGACACATGACGTCCCTACACTACTGTGACACATGACGTCCCAACACTGCCACCATCCCAAATGGGCCTGCAAAAAAGCTCAGCGGAAAGCAGAGGATGCACTAGGGTGTTTCATCCTGTCTGACAATAGTCACTTCTTGTCACATGATACAATGTAGTACAGCCGTAGAGCGTGCGTATAGTGTACATCTATGAGTACAGCTTACTTTGGAGCAGACACAAGCACTATGTTAATGCATCTGTTATTTATTATTATTTTTATTATTATATCGTTATAATGACATGTATTATAA